AACTCGTTCTTTAAGTTTATTGGTTTCTTTTTCCATATTTTCTTTAAAAGAAACAGTTTCGTTTTATTTTTGAAAACAAGCATCAAGACCAATCACGCACATCTTGTGCAATAAAAGGATAGATAGCACTTTCATGGATTTAGTTAGAAAGGGGAATGTGTCTTTGTAAGAAAAGAAGAATAAGTGAGAGAACGGGGTTTCAACAATGCTCTATTGCATAACTCTCAGTAGCTAAGTTCGGGGTCCGAAATGTACGCTAGGTGTATGGCCAGCTCAATTTTTGCTCAGGCAAAAATTCGAGAGGAAAAAGGTAGGTTCTTTAACTTACAGTACGGACCGAGAAAACGAGGTTAATAAGATATTTAGCATTTAATTTTTTTCCTCAAGCGTCTAAGTGGTCCGGAATCCTAAATGGATAATTCCGCGCGCTACAATGGTTCGGACTTTTCCCTTCCAGATCTCAGGTACGGAACGCTCCGAGTAGATAGATTCAAGAGAGAGGCTTAAAGATGTAAATATTGCAACCGGTGACTGGAGGTTATAGATTCGCTTTTGTTTTTTTGATAAAGGTAACATTTAAAATTTTGAAATAAAGTTATTATCGTACATACCTGTTTCCTCTTCAAAATGTTTCTCCAGTGTAGTTTTCATGTCATATATGTCACTTCTAGCTTTTAAGCAACTCTTCAATCTCGAAATCAACGCGTTTTGTTCTTTCTTGTATTCTTTTTTTTCTGCAAACAAAAATTTGAGAACATGGAACATTCCGAGTACGTGAACAGGTTTCATATGACAAACACCTTAAAATCCCAAATACTCTAAGGCCGTGCTTGTAAGTTTTAAGTTAACTGCATTTTGCCAAAAAATAATCATAATAATAATAGTAAAATTTATACACTTATACCTTCCTGCCATAGGCCAAAAGCCAGAAACTCCTGGCTTCTGCGTAGGCTATCAACAAAGCCATCGAATGCATCAGAATCTTTCTTTTGCAGAATTTTCAAAAGTGCGTTGTTTTTGTCTTTCCTAGTAGCTTCATTTTCTATTAGATTCATATCTTCACCACTGATTATCTCCCTGGACAAAAGTGAAGGAAGAATTTTCTTCACTTCAAGATCCTTCGTGATAACTTCCCATTGTCTGTAAAGTACTTCGATATGCATTCCAGACATGCCACGACCTCCTTTCATTAATGCTCTTTCGACCAATCTAAAAAGCAAATGTATCTTTAGTTCGGTTGGTAACCTGGTCATCCTAGGTCCCTTTCTATGGTCCCGGATACCCGAGACAACCCTCCCCCCGAGACAACTCTACGGAGTGATTTTATGAAATTTGACATCTGCTAACCCTCGTTCGGCTAGGCCACGTTATATATTCGACAGAGTGGCGGAAGACAGGAAAAGAATAGCTGTAATACGCAAGGGCTCAGGTTATGGCGTGTGCACACTTTGTCTGTTCAGTTGTCTTGTCTCGGGTCGGTGAGACAAGGTGTTTACTGCCAGGGATACTCTACCTGTCGGGGTGAGACAACTCATCTCCCCCCCCGAGTCGAGTTGCCTCGCGAGACGGGTTCATAAACTAATGTAAACGGTCGGTTGAATTTTTTAAAGAAATAAGTGAAAAGTTAGCTAGTCCAGGGTAACTCGGGAGGGAGGGTTGTCTCCGCTACCCGAGACCATGTAAATGGGGCCTAGTTTGACCATTCATAAAGGGTTATTAAGGAAACGGCTGTCCAATTACAACCAAGAGAAGCGACTTATAGTATCTTGATTACAACCACATTCTTAGTTCTTCAAGTGTCTATAACAGGAATTTTTATGGCGTGCTTATTTAGCTTATCATATGTAAAAACCAACTTCGATAGAAGAAAAATTTCAAAGAAAATTGAAACTCTGTTTTTTCGGGCCCTAAAGTATGGTTATATTGTCCATAAAGTGTCCCGTAGACTGCTAACGAGTTTGTGGGTGATGACGTTACAACTATGAAAACTCTCAGTAGAAACTTTCAAATCTCTCCCATCTCGTGCAATTATGTATCAGTCAGCGTCGACCTACTCTTGGAATAAAGTCCGATAACGATGTATATCTACCTTCAGCAAGCTCTACCGAGAGTTGTGATATATCGTATTCAAGTAGCAAAGAAGAAATGGAAGTTGCGAGTATGGTTCGGCCCTACGAATGAGAACCGCGTTCATCAAACGAAGGTGTTGAAGAAGACTAACAAAGACGGTTTCTCGTCTACGGCGTTCAGTTCAAGATTAAAATATAAATGAAAAAATTCCGATGCTGTCAAGAGTGTAGAAATTCGTCGGGAACTTCTATCGTATAGGAGAAGATAAAGCTTTTGAGCGATTCAAGGTTTCCTGTCAGTGAAAAGCATTGGAAGTCTTCGGTAACACATCATAGGGATCAATGAATAGTCTAACAACTTTGAGTTCTACCCATTTAGTTCAATTTGAACCGACATATACAATAAGTAAACCTCCACGCCGTTTCACATTTTTAACATGAGACCTTCAGCGTCCTGCGACATGGACTTTTGTAGCATCTCGAAGGAGTCCCTTTAGCGGATCCGAAACTGGACGGCCAAGCCGGCTACACTCACTTTGGCTCCTAATACTCAGTGCCCCAGTCTGTTGTGCATTCTATTTTCCAAATTGTTTTTAGAGTCAACGTCCATTCAAATTTAGTCCAAAATGGAATTTTTTAACAAGGAAATCAAACTTAAGGTTTGGATAAATTTTCTTGGTACTTTTACGACCTGTATCCTGTTTTACATTTGAAAACTGGCGGTTTTTAAGATCTTTTACAGCGAAAAAGCATCATGGCATCTTTTACGGCGAAAAAACATCATGGCTAAAAAACAATGATTGGATTTAAAAATCATCATCACAGTTTTGGATGACAATTTAATTTTCTTGATTGGACTCTGTAAAGCTCGCCCTGACACTTTTTCGTAAGGAACTTCCACACATCATTTCGTGCAAAGAAGTTAAAAAGGTTAAGAGCTAGACAATTTTGGTTTTTCTACGAGTGAAAAAGAAATCGGTTATCATTCTTTGGTTCTTTTTGCACGAAATGTTGTTTAATATTTTTTGGCAGGAATTTTTAAAGAAGGCCTTCCCGAAAAGTTGCCAGGGGAAACTCTGTGCAAATTGGTCCAAATTTTCCCTCTAAAAGTCTTACAAAATATAAGTGTACTTCTATTTAAAAAAAAAATACGGCGTATGCGTATTTTTAGCACCGTACTTTTCTGTCTTTTGGCGGGAAAACTTGCCACATTTTAACAGCTGTTACCAACAGAGTAAATAAAACAACTTGGCGAATGCGTATTATCTGCCCATATTTTTTTTAAGTTAATTGGCGGGAAA